AAATACTGGGTGCCAGATATTGTAGTTTTATCATGTCTCTGTGTTATATATGCATTTCTTCCTAGTTTTTTTTTTTTATTCTTTTAAAATACTGGTGTAAAACATGGAAATTCTAAACTAAGAGTGTGGTGAGTTGTAGTCCAAAACCTCTGGAAGGCACCACTTTGGGAAAGTCTGCTATATACTAAAAATCTCTTTATCCAGCATTTTTGGAAATTTAAAATTACTACTTTTCTTTGAAGTCCTCCCTATTTCATTGTTGCTGTATATCATAGTTTGGTGCTATGAGAATCTAGCCATTGGGCTATGCTCTGTAATATAATTGCAGAGAGACTTTTTGGATTTATCATTGTATTAATTTAGATGTTTTATTACCTGTTGTTGCAATGATTGAAATGCTGACATAGGACTGGGACATGAAGATTCAAACCTCAATTTAAGTCATGAAACTCAGAATAACCATGAGTCTAACAAATCCAACAAATCTCATGTGGTTGATAGGAAGATAAATTGTCCAGGGGAGAACCCTGTGCAAATTTTGAGTACTTTGGGTAAAAGGCAACACATAAATACGATAAACAATTAGTCTTAGCCCTCATTTGCTTGTATTTAATTAAGCATTTTTCAGTAACCTGATAATTCTTATATGAAGTTTTGCCTTAAATTTTTAATGCATGATTGATTTGAGAAACAGTTAAAATTGTACAAATTTATTTTTCAAAGTTGGAATTAATTGATGTATATATTTAGAAAATAAGCCGGAATAAGTTAAACTATATATTTTCTCTCTGTATAGAATCTAAGTGTGTTCCCAACACGCTGTGCTATTTTCTTTATCAAATAGATGCCCCCTTCCATTTTTATTTCTTTCCAAACTTATTCTTTAAGAAAATAAATTAAATACACTTGCTTAGAAACAAAACTCACTTATAGTGCTGTTTATATTCAGATAAATTTATCTCTACGCCTTTCTGAGAGTCAGAACAGTGTTGTAAAAGTAATGCAAGTCTTTCCAAATCTTACCATGATTATTATGAGTTTGCTTAACATTCACTTAACATCAGCTTTCTACGTCTTGTGTTCATTCATCTCCACAGAGACTTGGCAAGAACTTCTTCCGTCTCTTTTGAGTCAGCATGTTACTAAAGCCTTTCCTCTTGTTAAGGCATCTCCATGCAACTGAATAGTTTTTATCTCTCATTCATATAAAACCAGGTATATTCATGCTACTTCTTTATGAAGGCATTGAAATGCAACTGGCAGCAGTGTGGAACAGAAAAATAGCATCGGTTGAGGAAACAATGCAATTGTTCCTCTTTCTGTGCCATTGTGGTTTATTAGCTTTTGTGATGACGCATACAGCATCCTGATATTTGTTCTGTCACTTGCGGAAAAAAATAGCATGTTGTCCTTTCCCCGCACATTTCCTTCATAATGTATTGTCAAAGGCTTTCATGGCTGGAATTACTGGGTTGTTGTGTTTTTCGGGCTGTATGGTCATGTTCTAGAAGCATTCTCTCCTGATTTTTTGCCTGCATCTATGCCAAGCATCCTCAGTGGTTGCGACGTCTCACAACCTCTGAGGATGCCTGCCATAGATGCAGACCTGGCAACCTCTGAGGATGCCTGCCATAGATACAGACCTCACAACCTCTGAGGATGCCTGCCATAGATACTGGCGAAATGTCAGGAGAGAATGCTTCTGGAACATGGCCATACAGCCCAGAAAACACGCAACAGCCCAGTTCCTTTGTAATCTTGAAATGTGTGTAGCTGCACAGGATTGAATGACAAAGATCCTTTTGTCTTTCCCACATCTCCGTTTTTAAACTTCAAATCAGATGACCAAGAGGTATACAGTGTGTTCATAAATGTAAAAAAGAATTATAATATTGGTAATGTCTACTGGAGATGTTACATTAAACTCACCAACAAGGAAAACTTCCCAAAGAAAAATAATTTTCATTTTTTAAAGTATATAATGAAAACGAATGCTATCTAATCTTTAAAAATCAACTTCTAAAATGTACCCCTTTTACAATCAGATATAGCCAAGTTTCATTTTAATGCATGACATACATTTTTGTAACTTCAGTTCTGAGTTTAGATCATGTTATTTTCTGATATCACCTTACAGTGTGTATAGTTTTTTCCTATTTAGAAATGAACTCGTGTTATTTCACTCGGACTTGCCTTCTTTGGGTTTAGGCTTGTTTGACTTTTTTGAGGAGAATCTGGCTAGGAAAAGAACAGTTCAGGTGCTAAAGGAAATGCTTTTAAGATTTATCTTGCACAAACTTCATAATGAAAAATGAATGTCAGCTGTTTCAGACTATAATCCATGATCAGTAATGAAATAAATAATAGTCTTTTATAATTTTATAATCCATTTGTACACAGAATGAATTGGGAAGAAAGATTATATGTAAAATCAAGTTTTCTCATGTATCTGTTACATATAATGTAATAAAATATATTTCTGAATTTTACAGAGATGCCATTAAAATAGCTGTTGCATTCAAATGTATCCTTAATTTTCAAAAAATGGAAATTAAGAAACTAGTGGTAGTACAGACTTTATTTATATTTTTGTCTTTTAGAACCAAACTTCCAAGGCTATGAAACCAAAGCAACTAAATCTTGGCATACATATTAAAAGAATCCTAGAGTTTGTTGCCTGCTTTGTTTTTTTTAGGGCACATTAATTCATTTAGTGGTTCCCAACCTTTGCGCCACCAGGTGTTTTGGACTTCAACTTGCAGAAATCCCGGCCAGCTTATCAGCTGTTAAAAACTGTGGGAGCTGAAGTCCAAAATACCATGAGGCCCAAACATTGGGAACCATTGAATATGTTTAAAGCCTGCAATATCATGTTCAGTCATTAGGTAGCAAGCTTTCCAAGCATTGCATAACTTTGTAATTTAAAGCCAGGGATTCCTAGAGAGGTTCTCACTAGGACGCCCTAGAATATCTAGATTTTTCATCATGAGCCTATGGTCAATATCTGGTGGAAGAGTCTCAGGACCTCACCACATTAGGAACTAATCTGTTTTTATCAGTATGCATCCCGTATTTTTTTTCTGACTGAATGCAGACGGGAGGCATACTGACCCCATCACAACCATTTAGAAAATGCTATGCTTCATCCCATCACACCATGGAAGGCTGGCTCCTCCCAATCCATTTGAAGCACTTCCTACATCACACCATGATCTTTTTTTAATAAAAAAAATCTAAATATGTGCAGTGACGTAGCCTCCTAGTCCCAAACTGCAAGATTTGACAATGTACTGCGCAATAAATGCATTAGCCTGATTGCTACCTTTTGGCACGACGTATGGAGATCTCTAGTACAGAGCTCTGGGGAATCTAATCTTACTGGATTTCTAAACAACAGATTATTGATTCATTCGATAAGGCTCATTTGCTGCATCTACTGATGCTGCTGCTGAGGTTACTACTTCAGTTTTATGAGGCTGAACTCTAGGCAATGCAGAGGCAACACCAGCTTCTAATATTGCTACTTCTTCTGAAGAGGCATAATAGTTAAAAGCAAGACTCTGTTGCTTCAGTACAAATACAACTGAGGAAGAAATCATGCAGATTAAAATATATAGGTGAGGGGGTTAAGCAGCAATTCCTGTAGATCATTCTCCTTTAATGTCTGAAACAGAAATGGCAGCTGCTTCTGTCATGAACATCCAGGGTCATGAGACTCTGCCTGCCAGACACGCCCCCTGATGACAAGTTGTATCATTGCGGTGATGGAAAACTCTGTAGTTTTTCAAATACTATTATTAGAATATCATCTAGAAATACAGTATATTCTGGCGTATAAGACTACTTTTTAACCCAAGAAAATCTTCTCAAAAGTCAGGGGTCGTCTTATACGCGGGTGTAGTCTTATGCATGGGAGTCGTCTTAACTCTATATTTTAACTGGAAAAGTTGGGGGTCGTCTTATATGCCCAGTCGTCTTATATGCCGGAATATACGGTACTCAGTTTCTGCAGTGTTTTGCAGACGGATTTCAATGGATTACCGATGGGATGGGGTAAATGTCATGTGATGGAACCTGTTGGAAATCTTCCACAGTCAGTCTCAGAAACAGAGTAATGTGATGAGGTCCTCACTAGAGGATCTAGAGATTCTTGGAGTGCACAGTTTAAATAAATAAATAATCAAATCTGGAAAAAAAATCCCACAAATGTAGAAGGCTGACTCGTAGCTTTATATCAAAAAGTGAGCACACTGTTCTTATGAAGACAGTGTCATTGTTCAGGAAGGATTGTAGATCATTGACAATATGAAAATTTAATTTAGAATTGTAGAGGACAAGTGGTATTTTTTTGTTTTCTTTTGGGAACACTGGCATTCAATACACCTCTGAAGCCAGATAGAAACAGTGTATTCTTTCATACACTTCCATGTAAAGAGATTGTGATACATTCAAGAGAATTCACATTTCAGCCTATATTATGTTTGCATTAAAACAGGAATATGAGATTGTTTAATTAACAGGCTTGTAAGGGAAGGACAGGATGCCACGTATCATATTATAATAGTCTTATTTCTTTTGATTTCACAATTTAATGTGATGATTTTATGGAGAAATATACGTTTTTAACTTGGAAATAAGAATTCGTTTATTGTGTGTGATATGAGCCATAAAGTTTGTTTGAAATAGCTAGAGAGCCCCTAATTCCCTCCAGAGATATGATGGCAAGTTATAAAGATTGTTGTTGTTGTTGTATATTCCTGATCATCTCTAAACCATTCATTTCCTTCCCTTTCTCTTCTTTTTTTTTCCACTGCATTGCAGTAGCAAAAATACACAGATTTTATTGAAATATCCATTGTGTTTTATACAAATATGTAGCATCCCAAAGCAAATTATTGCCGATTACTAAGACACCTAAAATTAATGAAATCAGGATGTACTAACTGTATTTTGAACCTGGATTAAAATTGATGGTTTTGTCTCCTTCTCTCTTTGTGTAGTGTCGAAGGTGAGGCCCCTGGAAGTGAAACTGGAACCTCATTGGACAGTCCATCTACCTATCATCAAGGAGCTATTACACACAGCTCAACTCTAAGCCCAGACCATTACGACCATTCTCCTTATGGCCTGTATTCTATCTCCCCTGGGCAGCAAAGACCCCGGAGGCCGAAACTTCAACACTCAACATCCATATTGAGAAAACAAGCGGAAGAAGAAGCTATTAAAAGATCAAGGTCCCTTTCAGAGAGCTATGAACTCTCATCTGACTTGCAAGATAAGCAGGTATTTGAAAATGCTTTTTTATAGATCAGAATTATCAGAGCAAATAAACGTGCTGGTTGTTCACATGTTTGCCAAAATAATAACTTGCTTATAAGATTCTGATATATCCCACAGTTTTGACTTATTTGAGGAGTATTTGATTTTCTGTCTATTTCCCTTAGAGAACTAATGTGGTGTAGTGGTTTCAGCACCAGACTGTGCAGACCATGATTCAAATACCTATTTGGTCATGAAAATTCACTGGATAATCTCAGGCAAATCACACACTCTCGGATGAAGGCAAAGGCACCCACCCCAAACAAGTCTCGCCAACAAAACTGTATAATAAGTTCACTGTATGGTCGGCACAAGTCAGAATTGACTTGCAGGGATCAAACAACTTCAAATACTTATGCCAAGACATTTATTATTATTATTTAACAAAGAATGAGCATTTATTAATATTTGTGGCTTATCACATGTGGTTCAAATAACATATGAACTTACCAAAGATTCCACATGGTAATAATGTGCCTTTTAAAATATGGAGGATTTGTGAATGTGAAAACACAGCATTTTCTGGGTGACATGCTCTAGAGTTGCTACTGCTGCTTGAGTTCACATGTTAGCAACTTGGCTATTCTTTATCTTGCTTTTGATAAGTGCTAGCAATGTGGTAACCATTAAGCATGTTGAACATTATAGATTAGATTTGAGGATGAACCATTTCTTATGAGCTAATGTATGAAACAGAAATTATGTTTGTAAATGTGGGTGTCCTCCTGTCACCTGCTGGAGAGCTCCTATGCCTCAATCTGTAGTTTATTCAAATGTATGAAAGAGAAACACACGTGTCCTTCCATCTTGTCACGGGTAATGTAGGTTAGTGCTACATTACCTGCGTCAATCTGTATCAGGCTGACAGTCACAGCTGTTAATCTGTTGAGTGTTTCCAATGGGCACAAATATGGTACCAGTCTCTGGCACACGAGGGAAGAAACCCCTTCCAGATAGTTTAGAAAGCAATGGTGTAGGATGTGTCCTTTAGTGTCCCACTTCAAAAGCTATCCTGTATTGTGAGAACATTACAGAGACATTTGCTGTGGTAAATGGTAGTACTGGTCAGGGAATTCTACTGTCATCTGGATAGCCACATTCCGCCCACTTCTGATGTTTTCGTGCCAGAGCTGAATGAAACTCATAGTCTTCGCCCACCCAAATCCACTTTGTTTTACTTTGTTTTACTTCAAGTATTCTTCTCTTCTGCAGTAAGTTTGTTACTGAGAAGCATCTGCTGCACACATCCATGACAAAACAATATCTTGTGCATAGACATTAACATTTCAGAGAACAGTTGATTTGGCAACTTTCTGTAAAGAGCAGTTTAAGAAAACTATTTAAAACATCCTATAAAATACAGGTATAATTAAATTTTAATGGAATTTTATTTACAACACAATGATATCAGTCTGTGAGTTGAAAAATGCTTGGATAAAGTGGATTTGAAAGAAGCTTGACAGTCATAAGTTTGAAGACTGTCAATGTTAACTGTTGGAATGAAGTTCTAAAATATAATTTGATCAATGTGAATTTCAATTTTACTTTATTCTAATTTTAGGCTCTCGTTTTATTAGTGTTACTAATCATTTTTTAAATTGCATTGATGAAAATCAATGTGTTAGATCAGTGTAACCAAGAATTTTCATAATTGAAAATGCACACTGAATTCTTGGTTGAAAGAATAGAAAATAGATTAATTTGCTTGGTAATAACACTTGTTAAATCTCTTTAGGGAATCTGCTAAATAGACGTGTTTTATCCCCTTTCACAGAAGAAAACCTGAGGGAGAAAAATTGAGTATAGAATGTCATCACAAAATTGTTCATAACTGCTTAAGCAAAATCTGACAAGAAATTGATTCAATAAGATTTCAAGGGCATTCAGAATGTCATTTCTTGCTTTGTTAAAATGATCATATCTATAGGGTGCTTAATTGGAAACATTAGTTTGCATAAGAAATGCAAGATTTAATAACTTTTATAATTAGCTCTGTATGTATCAAAAGACCCTCAACCTAATTGAATCCATCGTGAATTTCAATATGTTTTGAAATGCTTGCCCTTTGGTTTTGGGCTGTGAAACATTAATTAATTGTTGTCTTGTAAAAAATATTCAAGCCTTAAACTTTTTTCAGGTTACAAAAAGTTTGAATTCCATGTGCATAGGTAAACCTCATTTTTCCAGAAGAATATACAAGGTGTACAATATTGTATAATTTTTTTATTTCATTCCTGTCTAAATATTTACTGCCTGAATTAAATTGACAAAAAACATTTCAGCCATCCTCCATACGTTTAATTTAATTGCTGTTTCATGTTTTATGTGGAAATAAATTTCACACTAAAAACATTTCTCTTTCATGGAAAGTATTCCTGATACTTATTAAAACCTTCTTCTTTTTTAGGTAGATAATTTTATGTGCAGCTATATATGCAATTTCCCATTATTATGCTATCTTTACATGCTGACTACATTTCCATCTTTAAAAAATATATATCTTAAAATTACCATCAGATACATTTTTGTATGGTAAGTTCAAACACTCATCAGCTTGGTGTCATGCTCCAATGAACCTTGACTGTTCTAAAATATTTATATCTTCATTTTAGGTTGAAATGCTAGAACGGAAATATGGAGGCCGTCTCATAACTAGACATGCTGCTCGTACTATACAGACTGCATTTCGCCAGTATCAGATGAACAAAAACTTTGAGCGTCTTAGAAGTTCTATGTCTGAAAATCGTATGTCAAGACGCATTGTACTGTCCAATATGAGAATGCAGTTTTCGTTTGAAGGACCTGAGAAAGTCCATAGTTCCTACTTTGAGGGGAAACAAGTTTCTCTTACAAATGACGGATCAAAATTAGGAGCCCTTGTCCAATCTGAATGTAGTGATCTTGGTGAATCAGCAACAATGAAATCTCCAGCAGCATCCACTGACTTTGCTGATGCTATAACAGAACTCGAGGATGCATTTTCAAGACAAGTAAAATCTCTTGCAGAGTCAATTGATGATGCACTAAATTGTCGTAGCCTACACTCAGATGAGGTCCAGATACCAGATCAAGTAAGGAGTCGTGACCTGGAGCGGGACAGTTGTGGTCAGAGTAAACCAACAAGCCATAATGTGGATCATAGGAAACTTGATGAAATGACTGCATCTTATAGTGATGTTACATTATATATCGACGAGGAAGAACTATCCCCACCACTTCCCCAGTCTGTAGATAGGCCATCAAGTACAGAATCTGACCTAAGGCTTCGGTCAATGAACCCATCTCAAGAGTACTGGTCTATGACACACAAGGATCATAAAATGGACACTGACACAAGCTGCAGGAGTACCCCCTCCTTAGAATCCCAAGAGCAGAGAATGAGGATGGATCACCTGCCTTTGCTAACCATAGAACCGCCAAGTGACAGTTCAGTGGACTTAAGTGATCGTTCAGAAAGGGGATCATTAAAGAGACAGAATGCATATGACCGAGGAGTTACTAGTCAGCAAGGTAGCCCAAAACACATTTCACATGGCATCCCCACCAAGATAATATCTCGAGAAGACCAGGAGACTAGACATAGACCAAGACCCATTGACAGCCACTTAGTCATTAATGGCACAGCAAACAGACAAAGCAAATCTGAGTCTGATTACTCTGATGGAGACAATGACAGCATCAACAGCACTTCCAATTCCAATGACACAATAAACTGCAGCTCAGAATCCTCTTCTCGAGACAGTCTAAGGGAACAAACATTGAGCAAGCAAACATACCACAAAGAGACTCGGAATAGCTGGGATTCACCTGCCTTCAGTAATGACGTCATTAGGAAACGTCACTACAGGATTGGGCTCAACCTTTTCAATAAGTGAGTACCATACCTTTTTCAGGTTTCCTTTCAGTAAAATGTAATTGGAGATTCCATTTCCCCCCCCCCCCCAAAATAATAATAATAATAATAATCTGTGTTTCTAGGACTCATGCTGCATGTACAAGCTTAGGAAAGTTTTTATCAATCCAACTCAGAGTATTTGAAATGCAGTTGTCTCTCCACATTTGTGGTTTTGGCTTTTGTGGATTTCATTATTCACAGTTTTATTTAAAATGGTTCTCTCTAGGAATCTCTAGGTTCTCCAGTGTGATTCTGTAGTCTGCTTCCGGTAGCAGTTGACCCTAGACTTAGCTCCTTTTGGTTTCTCCTCCAGTGTAGGCAAGACATGGTCTGGTGTGGATTTTGTATTGGCAGCAGGCCCGTAGCGAGGGGGGGGTTAGGGGTTCAAACCCCCCCCCCCGAAATGTTTCAGGTTTTTTTTTTCAAAACCTGGTTTACTCATGATTTTTAACTGGTTAACCAAATACCCATGCTAAGTCTATGAGATGCAAAAAATCAAGAGTCCCTCCAGAACTGCAAGCACTATCTCAAGCAAATATTAGCAATTTATTCACACTGTCATTACTTGCAGCAATAGCCGATGTAGTTGTTCTGGTACAGCTGTACCAGGAGCTCCAACTTTATTTGCTTTGTATTAAATGTTTGCTTGCAGTCCTAGGTTTCAGGGACTCTGCAGATAGGTGGCTTCTTTTGGTTGCAGTCATAGGGCAAGTCACCTGTCCATCATTGTTAAGTTTGGTCCCGCCCCTTGCTCAGGGCAATTGGGAAGGGAAGGGAGCCATTTTTAGTTAGTCTCAGCAAGGTAAGCTATGTATAGGATGTGTGCAAGCTTCCCCTGTACAAAAGCTTCAACCCTTAAGACCTTCTGGGGGAGAAAGGCTTAAGAGTCTCCAAAGAATTTCCAGGAAAACAGCCCTAAAGACCAAAGAACTCCAGCTGGAGAACATCTACTGCCTTGCTGGTAGGTCCACTCGGCGTTCGAGATGCAGTTCGACCCGGTAGCGGAGCCCACATCAGTAAGGGTTAGATTACAGTCAGCCTGGGAGAAGTTAAAACGGGGATTTTCCTTTAAAGAAGAAGTTATTGAAGACAGTTGTCCTTCGTGGGCAAGATTAGGAATTCACCAGTTGCCTAAAAGCTTGGAATCATTTGCTTAACTTTACTGAAGACAAGAGAAGTTTCTGTTTGATTGTTCATTAATAAAAGACATTTTTTTATACTTCACAAGCCATCTAAAGATCATTTGTGGTGGAAAACCTCTGAGAACTTCTCTGGGCCCCCTGGCTTCCCGCTGGGCAAAGGTTGCACATCCTGTTCTAAAGACAATTATTTACAGGCCCAGCGCGACAGAACAGTAGTGAAGCAACCAAGTTGGGGGGGGGGGGATGTTGAATGCTCTCATTAAGGAGGCCAGACTTGGTGGAGGTGGTTGACAAGGGCAGAGCTGCAGGCTATTGAAGGCTGCTCTGCCCCCTGCTGTGCTCTTTGCTTCAGCGTGAGCTAGGAGGCAGGTTTCAACCCCTCCAAAATTTTCAACCCCCCCCCCCTGAAAATTTCAACCCCTCCCGAAATTTTTTTCTGGCTACGGCCCTGATTGGCAGACTGTGATTTTGTGCTGCCTTCTGAATTCTAAATTGGAAAACTATGGTTTGACTAGAATCAAAACTCAGCGGGGAAATTGAAGCTTGCAAGTCATGATTTTATTTATTTATTTATTTAACAGTATTTGTATACTGCCTTTCTCAGCCCAAAGGCAACTCAAGGCAGTTTACAGTCGGCAAAAATTCAATGCCCCGACAGACATAAAATACAATTAAAAACATTTAGGGGATGAGGAGGAGGAGGTGTGGCACCCTTACTAGGTTTCATCCTAGAGTTATGGAACAGAGTGCTGTCTTCTACCTCCTTGTCTCAATTTAGAAAGACCTCACTACCTCTGAGGATGCTTGCCATAGATGCAGGCGAAACGTCAGGAGAAAAAATGCCTCCAGAACATGGCCATATAGCCCGGAAAAACCAACAACAACCCAGTGATTCCGGCCATGAAAGCCTTCGACAATACATTTAGCATATAATATAAAAACCATGCAAAACCAATAAAAACAGAAATCATCAGCGTCTTCTTACTAAAAACATTTCCAGTAATATCATATATAATATATGAACTGGGTTCACTTATATAATGCCAGCCATTGTTTGCCATTATATATGATATGGCCCAGTGCCAAATTCATTACATTCATAAAAGTTTGACTTCAGATAAGGCATGTTATCTATAACACTGTGAAGTATTTGTGGTCATTGTACTGTCAAATAAATACAGCGGGCCTTCTGGATACATGGGCTTCAGTTCCATGATTTCCACCCTCCGCATATTAAATGACAACGACATCAATGTGGACTGCTGAGGCCTCATGTTACTATAATTTAATAATAGGTGGTGGGATCACATAACATTTCTTTCTTATCTGTGGAGAACACTACAGATAGGGTGGGCCTACTTTAATCTGCTCTGCATAGTTTGAATAAAAAACTTCACTTTTGTGAAGTTGGATGTTAGAGTAGAATGCTTTCCTTGGACTATGGCAAAGTGAAATCAAATTATAGATTTTCAAACATATAATGAATTATTAAACTTAATAAAATCAGATGGTGAGTAACATAAATACATATATTGTTCATAAAACACAAAGGATGGATAATGTGGTAAAATTCTTATAATACAGTGTTACTGAGAGGAGAACAGAATATCTTTAAGATTGGTGTTAAAAACATTTCTCATACTTTCAAATCTCCCTGACAATTTGCGAAAATAAATTCCCCAATTTTTCTTGCATTTGGCAATCTTTAGTGCAGATAGTAGTGCTTCAAGTGGCATACTGTTTAGCTTCTTACAGCAAGCCTTTCCACAATAAATAATTAAAGATATTTGCCTCTTTTAATCCCAGGTCCTCATTTTCTTTGGAAGGGGGTTAAATAGCATCCTCTGATGTCACTGTATACCTGACATTTAACAAGACGGCTCCTCCAGAACTGTTTCCCCCCAGATGAAACAGTAACTTAAAAAAAAAGTAACCTGTCTGATGTTAATGTAAAATTGGAATACCTGTGGCAGGATAGGGGGGCCACATTAGGACCACTAAATGAACTTGGAGCAGTGCCTGCTCCCACATAAAGAAAAAACAAGTTTGTAAACATTGAAAGTCCAGGGATCAACCAAATGTGGTAAAAATGCCTTCCAGTATCCTTAAAGTGCATTATGGGACATTCTGGAGCAAATATTGTTGACCCTTGGGGGTCACATAAATGGCCATTGGAGCTGCATGCAACCCACAGGCTTCTTACAGCAAGCCTTTACACAATAAATAATTGAAGTCCCCTCCTTATAGTAAGGAAAATACAAGTAGAAGATCCCAACTCCTTGCCTATCTAGATGAGGTCAGAAAATCTTGCATAAAACTTGTATAAAGATGCTGCTGCCACTTAATATCAACAATACTGGGCCATATAGACCACTGCTTTGAATTAATGTGAAGCAGAAATGTAAGAAATGCATTCTTGCATTACTAATTTGTAAATTTAAAAGTAATCAAAAGTTTTCCTGCTTGGAAAGAACTGACATTTTCTGTACATCTTGAATTGGTCAAATGTTCATGTTAGTCAAACCATTTGATTTGCTTGAACATGAAATTTTGTCCAGACAGATTTGCGTTTTCACAATTTTACCAGGGAGTGTTTGTCAAGTCATATCTGTGTTGCTTTGCTGTTGGTAGTATGTCTTGTTTTGACACAGATATACCTTTCTGTGGTCTTACTAGGATAAATATACCTGACATGTGGGGAATTCCAGATTACCTCCCTGCCTTGTCAGTGTGAGGCTGTTAATGGATATTTTGTCCCAAGACAATACCCCATGTAGTGGAGATAAGACTTCTCAACATATTAAAGAGGTTTTGTGCATTGATGGCTATTAAAGAAGAATAAATGTGTGCATTTTGTTGATGATGTAGTAGGTTTTGAAAAACTATACTAGGGACATTGCATAATAAGCTTGTTTGTCTGCAACATAAGTTTTATCAGTTCATTCCTTCCAGCTCAGTTTTCCTGTCTAGTTGGTTTCCTTAATCCTAGACGCATACTGATTCATGCATACTTCAGGAATTGTATAGCTAAGTATGAAATGTTAATATGCAGTGTTTTAGGTATTGTGAATCATACTAGACAATTCATGCATCACTGCTTTGTTTATACCTTTATCACCGTGAAATGCTTTTTAATAATCAACACTGGAGTTCTCAATATTTTTTCAGTAAGACTCCATAAAAACAGAACCTGCATTAAGCTGATTTATCATAACATACACTGGAATTCTTCCAACTCAGGCAAGCTGAGTAAGCGTTACTCTGCTGCACCTGCCTCTCAAAGTAAATATAGTATATAACCCATTATGATGACCTACTCTTGATTATGTGCACTGAACTGAGAGTCCTTCAAGTTACTTAATACTACACTTAGTTTGTTATAAAAGATAAATCAACATTTGTTGTTAGAAAATTGTGTAGTCACTTCATGTAATTTGTTGAGTGGGTGTGCAGCAGTAAACACCATGGGTCCACAGTGTAATAAAGGAGACAAAGAAAACATTGTGCCATGGTGGAGGGAGCAACAAACAAGCCTTACTGACCATCTCTGACAAATCAGCAAACCTTATCAATTGAAACGTGCAGGAGTGTGTACATGTCCCCTGGCAATCATATAATCATGCAGGACATCAACTAATATTTGCAAGCCACCCCCAATTTGGTATTCACAGTTCATATTTTATTGTGGAGGGAGTATTTCATAGTGGGAGGGTGTGTATTGTAAGGTCTCTACAGTATTATATAAAGTGGGGCTACATGTATGTCTGTAAAGTATAATAAAAGTACAATCCATTAGGGGATATGATTTCCCCTTCTGTGTATTGTCGAAGGCTT